TATGTAACCCAAACATCTGTACCCCCATAATATGCTGAAATAAAAAAAAAAAAAAAGAAGCTGTGTCCGAGTAAGATCAAAAAAGCAAAACTCTGAAGCTGGAGAACTTTGCTTTGAGCCCAGTTCATCTCTGTTTTCAATTCATTTTCTCTCTCCCCAGGCACTTCAGGTGGCCTCACTGCTGAATCTCTATGGAGCTGACTTACCAAGCTCTGTATGTACTTTTTTTCCTCTTTCTCCCTGCCCTCCATCTCACATTAAACCTCTGTCCTTTGAGTGTCATGCATAAGGTGACAGCCAGATGTCTGATGAACTACCATGTTGAGGGGTTATGACCGCCAGCATTTCAGTGTGGGGTGCTCCTAGGCATACATTCCTTTTAACAAAGGGCTCCAGAAAGTGTGGGATGTTCACCACAAGAGAGAAATCTCAAATACTAAACTTCCAGACGCCCTAGCGGTACAGTGAGGGAAGAAGTTTTGGCTTGCTTGTCTCAATTCTTGGCAGGCCTCCTTGTAAAATCAACTCTGTTCCTAAGAATGCACATGATTTCCTTTGCAGACTTGTGTAGAAGTTGAAGAGGACAGAATTGACCACAAAAGGCATCAAAAGTGCCAAATTCTTGTATTCCAACTTTGCTGGTGGGGGTGGATAGGATCAACCTGGAAAAAATTGGCTAACATTGCCCAAATTCATTTGACCTTAATATGATACTAATCTCAATTATAAAACCAGCATGAGAGTTTGCGGTGGGAAATATCTCCTTCCAAAGGAAGGATGTTCAACCCACAAAGGACCAACACCAGCATCAGCCATAGTAGGAATTTGGAATCAGGTCACTTGTGCTGTTTTCTCAGAGACCCTGCTCCAATCCTTCTGGAGGCCAGAGCCATGCACCTTGAGGAAATGGCAAAGAGGTAAATGTTGCAAGGCTGGTGATGAGGAGGGCCAGGAGGAATCTGGCCTGATTAGGAGAAACAGCTCTGGGTTCTGAGTCTGGCCCTACCACTCATTAGCTGTGTGACCTTGGGCAAGTTGTATAAACTCTTTAGTGTCAGTATTCTATCTGTAAAATGGGAAAGCACAATATTATTATCATATCATTGGTATTGTTATTAGCCTCCAGGAAAAAATTAGAAAGCTAAACTTGATGTTGGCATACATCTGTTGGGGTAGGAATAGAAATAGTGGGGGAATTTCTTCTATGTATTTTCAAGACACAGAGCATCTATACTTTTCTGAATTCATGGGGTAGAAGCCAAAGTAAGTTATGTGTCTTTAACTAATATTTAAAATATTAAGGATGCTGCAATGTCAATTTCTGCAAAAAGGTCTTAGTATCTGTCTCTATTAGTAATTTTTTATTTTATAAAATTTAGTTAGGCAAAATAAATCGAACCATCAACTTTAATCCAACATTGTAAACTGCAAAATAACATTGCAAAGCATTATGTCAAAGTTTAGGTTTAAAATTCAAGGTTGGTTTATCTTAACATGTTTTCCCAGGGAAAAAAATACTATATTCTTATGACCTCTTAAACTTAGAATAAGATAAAGTGATGTAAAATTCATTATTCATAAAAAGTTCAATGTTTCTGATCACTTTATTTTTAAAAAATATTTTATTTTTTTCAGCCTCATTGAAGTATAATTGACAAATAATTTAGTATAAGTTTAAGGTGTATATGATTTGATGTACACATATGATGTGAAATGTTTACCACAATCAAGTTACTTAACACATCCATCACCTCACATATTTACCATTTGTGTTGTGTGTGCTGAGAACATTTAAGATCTATTCTCTTAGCAAATTTCAAGTATACAATACAGTATTGTTAGCTGTAGTCACTGTGTTGTATACCAGATCCCAGAACTTATTTATCTTATTACTGAAACTTTGTGCCTTTTGGCCAATAACTCTCTCCATTTCCTCCATGCCTCAGCCCTTGGTGACAACCGTACTACCATTCTCTCTTTCTTTAAGTTGACTTTTTTAGATTCCACACAGAAGTGAAATCATCAATGTTTGTCTTTCTCTGTCTGACTTATTTCACTTAGCATATTGCCCTCAAGTTTCATTCATGTTGTTGCAAATGACATGATTTCCTTTTTTTTAAAAGGCTGAGTAATATTTCATTGTGTATGTGTACATACACACACTACATTTTCTTTATACATTTCTTTATTGATTAACACTTCAGTTTCCACGTTTTGTCTATTGTGAATAATGCTGCAATGAACATGGGAGTGCAGATATGTTTTTGTTTCCTTTGGATATATACCCAGAAGTAGAATTACTGGATTGTATGGTAGTTCTATTTTTAATTTTTTGAGGAACCACCATGTTGGTTTCAATAATGTCTATGCCAATTTATATTTATATTTAATAGGTGTGAAGTGCCATTTTATTGTGGTTTTGATTTGCATTTCCCTGCTGATCAGTAATGTTGAACACCTTTTTATGTACCTGTTGACCTTTTATATGTCTTCTTTGGGAAAATGTCTATTCAGGTCCTTTGCCCCATTTTTAAATCAGATTGTTTTTTGCTATTGAGTTGTAGGAGTTCCCTATATATTTTGGACATTAACCCCTAGTCAGATACATGGTTTGCAAATATTTTCTCCCATTTCATAGGCTGCTTTTTCATTTTGTTGATTGTTTTCTTCAGTAGGCAGAAGGTTTTTAGTTTGATGTAGGCACACTGTTTATTTTTGCTTTTGTTGCATGTGCTTTTGGCGTCATATCCAAAATATCATTGTCAAGATAAATGTTAAGAAATTTTCCACTATGCTTTTTTCTAGCACTTTTACAGCTTTAGGTCTTAAATTTAAGTCTTTACTACATTTTAAGTTAATTTTTGTGAATGGTATAGGATTGGGGTCCAAGTCCATTCTTTTGCATGTAGATATCCAATTTTCCCAACACCATTTATTGAAGAGACTATTCTTTCCTCATTATGTATTTCTGGCACCCTTATCAAATTTTACTTGACCACATATGTGTGAGTTTATTTGTTTATTTATTTTTGAGACAGAGTCTCGTTCCATTGCCCCAGGCTAGAGTGTGTGGTGGCATGATCATAGTTCATTGCAACCTCAAACTCCTGGGCTCAAGCAATCCTCCTGCTTCAGCCTCCCTAGTGGGTGGGGCTATAGGCGCGCACCACCACACCAGCTAATTGTTTCTATTTTTATTAGAAAGAGTCTCACTCTTGTGCAGGCTGGTCTTGAACTCCTGAGCTCAAGTGATCCTTCCACCTCAGTCTTCCAGAGTGCTAGGACTATGGGCATGAGCCACTGCGCTGGGCCTACGTATGGGTTTATTTCTGGGCTCTCTGCTCTGTTCCGTTGATCTATTATCTGTTTTTATGCCAGTACCATACTGTTTTGATTACTATAGCTTTGTAATATAGTTTGAAAACAGGAAATGTGATGTCTCCTGCTTTGTTCTTTCTCGAGATTGCTTTAGCTATTCTTGGATCTTTGTGGATCCATACAAATTTTAAGATTGTATTTTCTATTTCTGTGAAAAAATGCCATTGGAATTTATAGGAATTACATTGAGTTGTAGATCACTTTGGGTAGTATGGACATTTAACAATACTAATTCTTTACATCTATGAATATGGAATATATTTCTATTTATTTGTGTCTTCAATTTCTTTCAACAATATTTTATAGTTTTGAACATACAAATCTTCCCATCCTTGGTTAAGTTTATTTTTAAGTACTTTATTCTTTTTGATGGAATTATAAATGGGATTGTTTTTTTAGTTTCTTTTTCAGATTATTATTAGTGTATAGAAATACAACTGATTTTTTATGTTGATTTTGTATCCTGCAACATTATCCAATTTGTTTATTAGTTCTATCATTTTTTTTTTAGTAGAGTCTTTAGGGTTTTCTATATACATGATCATATCATCTGCAAAGAGAGTCAATTTTACTCCTTCCTTTCTGATTTGGATGCCTTTTTTCTCTTTTTCATGCCTGATTGCTCTGACTAGTACTTCAGAGCTATGTTGAATAGAAGTGGTGAGAGTGGGCACACTTATCTTGTTTCTATGAATAATTTTTAAAATTGAGATAATAATTGACTGGTGCTACCTAGAGCCATAGCTTCAGTTATAACATCATCATATTTCCATTCATTGATTCAAAAACAATTATTGAGTACCTATTATGTACCAGATCCTGGATAGCATGGGCATACAGGATACAGAGGTGAATAACAGAGAGATATTAAGTATTCATATACAGCAGTCACCAACCTGTTTGGCACCAGGGATCGGTTTCATGGAAGACAACTTTTCCGTGGACTGGGGTGGGGTTGGGGGGCGGAGCTCAGGCGGTGATGTGAGTAATGGGGAGCGGGCCAAAAATACAGATGAAACTTCACTGGCTTGTCCGCTGCTCACCTCCTCCTGTGTGTGGTCCAAGTTTCATGGCAGACAATTTTTCCACGGACTGGGGGAAGAGGACGGAAGTGGGGAGTGGAGGAGCTATGTGGCCCGGTCCCTAACAGGCCAGATATGTCAGTGCGTCTGCTGACCGCAAATATACCAGACCTTCCATTTTAGCATTCACAATGGAACAAGAACCTGCTCCCTCTGTTGAAACTTACTTTAATATGTCCATTCCTGATAAGTCTTGCAGAAAGCTTGACAAACACCATCAGAGATGTGCAGAGCAGGACAAAGCTCAGGCACAGGTCGAGGGCTGGAAGCGTCAGGTGGTACTCTTCATAGTGTGGTGGGTCCACACGAACTGATGGCAATTGTGCATATGGAAAAGGAAAGGCAACTGCATAACCAAGGTAATTGGTCCCTGCAATCCCTGAAAATGAGTAGAAGCAATATGGGCCTAGGAGAGCAGATTCCAAGGCTATTGCAAAATGAAGTGGACATCCCACAATGCTCACAATCACAAAGGTGAAACTAACTTCCCACCGCAAATAAAGTAGAAACAAATTGTTAATTTTGTGGATGAGATATTTCAAAAGCTTTTTAGCAATAGGAAGAAAAAAAGAGATGCCAGGTATTAATGTCTCCCACTGGGAAATGCAGGAGAAATGGGTCACAACCCTTTCCTTATGCCCTTGTATTAATTTTTGTCTCCAATATACACCATGGGAGAATAACATACCAACTGGGGCAAAAATGAAATCAATTCAAAAAACATTTACTATTTATTTATTTCTTATTATGTGTAGAGAACCAGTCTGGGTAAGGAAAACAAAGATGAGTAAACAGACTCCCCACTCAAGGACCTTGCTACTCAGGGTGTGGTCCATAGTGCAGTAGCACTGACAGTCCCTGGGAGCGTGGGAGAAACATAGAATCTCAGGCCTCACTTAGGTCTGCTGAATCAGAATCAGCACCTTAACCAGATCTCCAGCTGATTCACACATACACTAAAGTTTGGGAAGCACAGCCTTAGCCATGGGAATAAAATCTATAAGCAGATAACATAGTCTTTCTGTATCATGGGATTACCTGGCTCTATACCGTTGAAATGCAAGATATAATAGACTTTTTATCTTTTATTAGAGGGAGAGTTAACAGTGAGATTGGAAGGAGACGTCTGATTGAGGATTTGAGACTTAAAATTACATCATTAGAAGCAGAGGAGTCTGTAGACCATTCCTTCAAAATGAAATTCAGGAGCACTAACACTGGCTCTGCCCTCCACAAATACCATAATAATACAGGAACTTGTAGAAAATGTTTAGAGCAGCAATCAGATAAAAATTATTCATTTAAAATATAGTTTATTGCTGCAATCCATTATAGTAAGGCATCAATTAAACTTATTCCATTATAATTGGAAATCATATTTTCTATGTTCCATCCTGAACTAGCTGTGATTTGACCTTCAAACCCACTCTACCATCCTACTTGACATCTGTATATTTACCAGGTATCTCTGGATCCACTCTTTGCAAGCCAACAGTAGAAGGATACCAGCCATGATGGCCTGTGAAAAGAAAATGGAAAAATAACAGCCACGATGGAAGGTACCTCTGGAAGGTACCTCCATCCATCTCACAGTTTGACAACTTTATCATGAACAAGAAGGAACAGCAAACGGCTAAATGGATTTACAGCTCTGATTTCCTCCTCATCCGTGGAAGAAACTGTGATGATGATGAGGAAAGTAAGCCATTAGTGTCATAAAGACATGATTCATACAAGCTCATTTTTTGATTCTCTGTCTTGCCTTTGCCATCACAATCATAACCTCTGCTACTGTAAGGAGTCACCATGATAAAAGCTTGGCTTTATAACCCTTGCCATATGTTTTATTTTGATTAATTGTCTATTGTTCATCTTTCTCACAAATTGCTAAAATTGCAGATGGAAGGAGCCAAAATGGAAACTTGTCACAGAATCTCCCAGCAGTGGCATTATCTTTTGCTATTTGCTTTCTTTTGAGATTCTGTAGCCTCAGCCTGCTGGTGGGATACAAATACATGATCCCTGTTTCTCAGGTAACAAAGGTTATCATTAGAAGTTATGCATGATGTGGCATTTATTGTTCTGGGTGCAGTGGTGTCCAGCTCTCAAAAGGGAGTTTTTCTTTATAGTCTCTGTTGAAGGAAAAATGTCCAAAGTGCAGAACAAAAATAGTTAAACAAAGGAGGAAATGGTGTCACAAGAATTGAGCAATAGATAATGAGAAAAAAATCTCTGGGCTCTTTGATTCGGCACCAGGGCTCATGAAGTAGACCTCTGTGGTCATTGAGATTGGAAATCGCTTATTTCCAATCCATACAATTCATTTGTTCTTGGTTAAGGACTGTTTTGAAGTTGAGGGAGAATCAGGAAAAGATGTGCCTAAAATAAGATATAGAATGTGGACAGGTCTAAAAATAGTATAGGTTTTCGACAGAGAGATAAACATGACTGTATATACATAACCAACAAACTTAAGGGGAAAAATCAGCGTTTTTACCAGTATGGTTTTGTGGTATGCTGCTTTGGTAGCTCTGGGTATGGCATATTTATTGTTTTGAGACTTAGCTTTTCATTTTCCTGGCATATTTTATTTTGAATGTTGGATTTAGAGAATTTGACAGAGAAGAAAATACGCATACACACTCACACACACATGCACACACAAACTTCTCGCGTAGCCGAGCCTAAAATTTCAGACTTGGCATGACCATACCATAAAACTCCCATGGATAAAAACAGAACCATCTGTTGTCAAAAGAGGTTCCTGGCTTGATTCTGCGAAAGGAAAGTTTCCAAGGGACCCTATGGAGGTTGAGCCAGCATAAACAGTACAACAAAACAGGAGAATTATTAAGAGCAACTGCAACAGTGATGCTGTGGGGTAAGCCTGGGCTGGACTATGCTTTCAGAGATGTGGCCTTCAATTGACACATCACTCCTCTGAGAGGACCACTGAGAGAACCACTGAAGCAAGACAAAAGCAAAGAAGACACACTCACACCTCTTTGCTGGTTTAACTCTGAGTAGATAGCTGACATTATCAGATGCTTAGATTTCAGGTTTCCTTAACTACTTTGGATGAGCTGTTTTTTTCCTTTCAAAAGTTGAAAAATGCTGCAGAATTTCAGTCGCCTGTTATTTCTGTTGTAGCTGCCAGCTTGAATTTTGCTTTGTTTACACAAAACTTTGAAAAAGATCTTTCATGGAGTAGGCTGAGTATGAATGCCATTCAGTAACTTGTTAAATCCACCCTGTAAATGGCAGCTCCAGAGCCGAGCACACCCATCTTTCCTGGTGACCCCCCACGTCCAGGCATGGGAGGTAGAGTGAGGGGTATTTTCCCCCATGAGGCACAGCCTTCCTCCTTTCTTTTTTTAATTTCTTTTTATAAATTTTATTTTTAGATAGAGAGGAGAAAATAATTTTAAAAAAAGAGATTTAACTGGAGGGAAGACAAATCAAGACAGGAAAGGATATGCGTGTATGTGGGGAGTGTTATCTGAGACATGAACAGGGCAGCCAAGTTGTGAGAAAGGGCAGGTGCATCTGGCAGTTAACGGACAAAGGGGAGATGGCCCAATCCTGCTCTCTTCTCCCGCAGCTCTTCTTGACATGCTATTGGCTTGCTCGCCACGCACTTCCAGGGGCATTAGTTGGGTTTTGCAACAGTCGCTGCAAATACTTTGAGTGCGCAATAACTGTAAGCCCTCCCACTAAACCTTTAAATTGCCTGAGTAAAGGATGCAGTTCCCAGAAGCAGATGAATTGAAGGAAGCAGGGAGCAGTCACAACAGAAATAGAAACTTTTAGAGGCATCAGATTAATATGGGATAATTTATTCACTTACGAGCATCTGTTACGAGTCTACTACAAATAAGGGATGTGCTAGGCACTGTGCAGATAAAATAACAATAGCTGTTAACATTTATTGAGTGCTTAATATATGCCAGGCACCATCTCAACACTTTACATGTGTTAATTCAGTTAATCTTCACAGTGACCCTACCATGTAAATATTCTCCCACTTTTTAAATGAGGCATAGAAAGGCTAAATAAGATGAACAACATCACCAAATAATAATTGCACAAATAATGGCTCCCACTGTCATTGGGATTTGCAGTACAGGTGTGAAAATAATACACATATAATAGCCACAAAATTAGGCAAGAAGAACGAGCACTTTCCACATGAGGAGAGCTCAGTGGTAAGATGCCACTGCCCGGGGAAAAGTGGATGATGAAGGCATCATGGGGAAATTGGGTCTGCAGTGGGTTGGAAGGATGGATGTGATTTCAGTGGGAGGTGACAGAGCGAGGCAGTCCAGGCTGTGGCTAGCATGTGCAAAGGTGGGAAAGTGGCCGTCATGCTTGGGGAACAGTGAGTGAGGAGCCCAGACTGGAGAGAGAAGAGCAGAAGATCAGGATTGAAAACCACATAACGCCAGGGTGAAGAGGACCTTACAATTCAAGTGAGCGTGTCTGGACTTTGTTTGGGGACAATGAAACAACACTAAAATTTTCAAAGAAGAAGCTAGTCTGACTACCAAAGAGGTTTAGAAAGACGATGAGTCAGTCGTCAAGTTCACGCTGGATTGGAATAGAGTGACACTTACAAGTCTCTGTGGGACCCTGGTATTCAAACATTTTTTAAAGAACTTTACCTACAGTAAGTACTACATTTCACATCATGGTCTAGTTATGAATATTTTTATGTCTAATCGAAACAGTACTTAGCCCTTCTTATGTGTGAGGCACTCTAATATTCTCTATTCTATTCTGTTTGGTTATTGTAAATGCCGCTAGCTATCTAATAGATTGATTTTATAATCCATTAATGGATAAATTTCCACAGTTCAGCTATCGAAGTTACCTAGGCGTGAAATCTGAGCAGGGGTGGAAAGAGGTAATGGATGGCTGTGTGTACAGTGAGAAGGAATGCATAGGAATATGTCTTGTAGGAAAAATTAAAGTTACATGGCAATGGATTAGAATGGGGCTGATTTAGGGCATTGCTGCCCACAGTGCAGTCCTAGGATCAGCAGCGTGGTGTCTTCTGGGAGCTTGCTAAACATGCAGACTCTCAGGCCTTACCCCAGACGGCCTCGGTTAGAACCTGCATTTCAACAAGATCCCGCAGTGACTTGCACGCACAGTACAGTTTGAGAAGGGCTAGCTCAGACGGAAGGACTGAGTCAAAAGTCACTCCAGGATTTGAAATTGAGTTCCCATGATAATGACAGGAAAGTTGGAGAAGAAAGAATAGGTTTTGGTGACAAGATGGCTAATTTGTTTGCAGACAAGCTGGCCTTAAAGAAGCTTGGATATCTAAGTGGAAAATAGACCATTGACAAAGATTCCTTGTTTGAACAAACTTTAGTCAGGTTCCTGAATCTTCTCCTAGGGCCATCTGGGCACTTCCTTATAAAATCCAGTTTTAGCAAGAACCCTGCTAAGTCAGTCTAGCAGGAATACCCACCCTGAATATCTGATCACCTTCAACATTCACTTCGTTCCGTATTTGCCACCATCCCCCAGGTGATGTCCAATCACTCTGGCCTGTCTTTAGCAAGAATCTTGTTAGGTCGGTTTAGCTAGAACCCCGACCCCTGATGTTTCCTCTTAGAAATTTACCATCCCCTGACCCCCACCTGCTCCTTAGCTATAAACTCTCACTTGCCCACGCTGTATTTGGACTTGAACTCAGTTCTATACTGAGGTCTCTTTTTTCCCCAATTACAATAGTCCTGAAAAAAATCTGTTTTTATTGCTTGAAAAACCTGTCTAGCTCTGGTTTTCCTTTAACACCACAGGCAGTTGGAAGTCACATGACTGTTGAAGCTGCAAGAGTCTTGAGCCATCATGTCATTAAGCCCTTTCTCTAACAGGTGAGGCAAATGGGGCCTGCATGGCTCTGCCTGGCCCTGACCTTTCTCCCACGTTCCTGCCTGTAAGCAGGGTCCTGGGTACAGCGCTCCTGCTTGCTGTTGGCCGAATCTCCAGACTCTCCAAGTCTCAGGTCTGGCGTATAAAGTCACTGTACTTCAGTCTCTTCATCAGAGCTTGATCTACAAGTTTTGTCTTCCAGGATTAATAGAGCTCAGTTCTCAAGGTACTATGATCTCCTCACTGCATACTTTATTGCAGCTGATGCCTTTTAATAACCAAACTCTGAAATTCTAGGAAAATTGCTTGTCATGTGGTGGTCAAAACCGGGCTAGGAGAGTCCGAGGACCAATATTTATGAAGTACTTAGAAAGCCTGAAATGAAAGGCATTGAACAAATTACAAAACTCTATCTCTTACAAGTCGTCAAAGAAATATAGAATCATTTGCAAAAGGAAATGTCAATATGATTGAAAGGTACAAATTATCTTTTCACTGGAGGAAGACTACTTGGAGGCAGGTTAAGAAGTAATTGGCAAGGGAGATCATGGCAGCTGTCAGAGACCTTTTGAAGTTGACCCTGATCAGACAGAACTGTGGTTCAGTAGCAAACTCACTAGGAAAAAAATGATGTTGTTCTAAATTTAGACATTATTGAAAGAGTGAACATTCTTATTACTTTCCTTCTCATGAGAATTTTTTTCCTGCTTTAGTATAAATACCAGCTTGACCTTTAGTCCTTGCAATTTAATCAGAGTTCAACTGTATAAGAAATTCTGTATCTCTATAATGGAGAGCATGAGTTCATTCACTCATTTAACAATATTTATTGAACAGTATTTATTGAATATCTGGTATGTGACTCCCTCTGTTCTATGTTCTAAAGATACAGCAGTAAACAATTTAGGAAAAAAAATCCCTGCCCTTGTACAAAATACATTTGGTTGGGAGAGGAAAACAAACACACAATAAATAAGTAAATTATATAGTATCTTATGTGATGATAAAGGATATGGGGAAAAAATAGAGCAGGGTGTGAGATTGGGAATGCCAGTTGGGGAAATAGGGGCTGCAATTTTAAATAGGGTAGTAAAGGCAGACCTCAGTAAGAAAGAGACATTTGATCCAGAATCGAAGGAGATTAAAAAGTGAGCCAAGTTCAGGAAGAGGCTTTAGGCAGATAGCAGGCAGTACAAAGGCCCTGAGGCAGAAACACACCATGGCATGTTTGCAAACAGCAAAGGGCCAGTGTAATGGAAGAGAAACGATTTAAGAGAAGAGTGGTAGGAGATAAGGTCCAAGAGGCAACAGGATGTGGAATTCAGCAGTTCATCAGGGAATAGGATAGAAGAGTGAGACCGGTGACAAGAGATTAAGGACAAAGGGTTTGGACAGAGAGTAGAGCACAAATGAAAGGCATGGTATTAACTAGCATTTGAGTAGGGCTTTAAAATTGGAAAAGCTCTTTATTATACAATCTTTGTTTAAATTGTACTCATTCCCACTGAGAATCTCTTTTTGTCTGTAAAACTCCCCATTTTACAGATAAAGGCAATGAGGGACTGGCTGATGGAGTGTCCTGCTTTTGACCACATACCAAGAACATCAAAGTCAGGACTTGAACTCAGGTCCATCTCCCTAAATCCTTTATCTCTGACTCCACTTCCCCATGCTGCCATCTCTGAAATCAAATAGCCACCAACTAGCTATGTGCTGGGAACACATCGTATCCTTTCTCTGGGCCTAATTAGCAAAATAGATATTTGGCCTAGAACAAGCCTATATTCTATAATCTGTAACCTTAATCAAAGTCACCAATATTTGTTGAATGCGTTATGATAGACTCTGCAGGGGTAGGCAAAAAGCTATGAGGAAAGGGTACAAGATTGGACTATAACCATGATTTTGTTAAACTTTGGGTTAGTTGTACAATCAGAATTTAAAAAATTAAATGAAATAGTAAGCATCAGAATACATTTTACACAGAGGGTTAAATATTATTTTGTGAAACTTTTGTTATATGTATATGTAGATATCTGTTTATCTAGAGAGAAATATGTAGATGTATTTATGTACATTCCAGGTCTCAATGTAAAATATTTTTGTAATTCTGAGTCACCAACAAGAAGTTTGGAAATTGCTTGAATATATGTAATTTCTATTTCTGCATTCTAATAAAAGCCTAATATATATTTCTTTAAATGAATGTATGGTTTCAGACAGGTTTTGGAGGAAAGCGGAAGGGAAGGTCAAGACTAGTGTGGTAGATATAAAGGAACATATGAAAAAACAAAAAATGAGAAGGATAAGTAAGCATCACACAATGGTTTCCTTGCTCAGTCCACCCTCCCACCACCCTGCTTCTCACATCTGCATGCCATTATTAAACATTACTAGAACGAGCTCTTTTAAGATCAAGACCTTGTTTTATCCTCCGTTGTAACCCAAGACATATAGGCTATCAATAAATATTTCTCTAATAGATTAAAAATTGTATTTCCTGGGGTCTTGATTTTAGGTGGTATCCCAGTTAAAGTTTTAATTATTTAAAGGTTTAAGGCCAGGCTTGGTGACTCACATCTGTAATTCTAGCACTTTGGGAGGCCGAGGCAGGAGGATTGCTTGAGGCCAGGAGTTTGAGACCAGCCTGGGCAACATAGCGAGACCCTGTCTCTATGAAATAATTTTTTACAAAATGAGCTGGGCATGGTGGCACATGCCTGAGGTCCTGGCTACTCAGGAGGTTGAGACAGGAGGACTGCTTGAGCCCAGGACTTCAAGAATGCAGTGAGCTATGATCACACCACTGTACTCCAGCCTAGGGTGACAGAGCAAGACCCCCTGTCTCAAAAAAAAAAAAAAAAAAGATTTAGGGTGTTATTCCACTCAAGAGTGGCTACATTTCAATAGAAAATTCCTTAAGCTCAAAAAGCTTCAAAATCCAATTTTCTAGTCTCCAGTGGTGAGTGTCACACATCACAGGAAACAAAGAGAGAAGGATTCGTTGGGAAGGTGGGCCTTCATAGCTCCTCTTAAATCATACCACCATGGAAGCCACTTACTCCCAAGGCCAGATATACTCATTTCTTTGGCCTGGGGAGCTGTGGTACCAGGCCAATCATTTATCTGCGTGATCATTCAATGAGCATACATTGAGCACCTACTTGGTGCCACACACTGTACTTGGCATTCATATACTTTCCTAGTGAATTGTGAAGTCCATTGCCCCACTTCTTGAGTTATTTTTAGTTCAAACAGGTCCATGCAATGAAAAAAATAAAATAAACAAAGATTTTGGACTTGCAAATTTTGAGATCATGTAGACACATCATAGTGTTTCTAATGAAAGCATTAGTTTAAAAGTTATTCTACTTTATTCTCCAATTTATATTATGTTTCATGGTTTATTTATTTCTAAATTCAAAATTAAAATTTAAAAAAATGATCCTAATTTCTCAGAATATCAAGGGGAGAGGATTAAAATAAACTAACTTTTTAAGAATTTCTTGAACAATATTTCATTATATTGTGTTGATATACATGCATACACGATAAAACAATATTTAAAAATTTCTATACTTGAAATGCAACAAATACAAATCAATTTTCTAAGGTGAATCCTCACTTTCTGTAGAATTGTGACTTCATAATGTTGGAAAATTTAAAAAAGGACATGATATTCTATTTCCCCTTCCCCTTATACCTTCCTTTATTTTCTCAATATATTTAACAGAATATTTTCCTACCAAAGCTCCATTCCAGATGGGACAAGCAATCCAAACACTCCGTCCTGTGAACCAAAGCTTGGAAGAGAAGACGGGGAAGAAAGCAATAATGCCAGAACATGCACTGAGACTCCCCAGAGTAGCGAGAATCCAGCCAGCAGCCTTGTATAGGCCCTTCATTTTCCTCTGTGACTTGAGTCCTTGGTCTCAAAGATGTTTTGTTACCAAAACATGGGAGTATGACTGGCCTTGATAAACAGAAGTTTCTTAGAGACAGTAGCCATGACACATGTTAACCGTTGATCTAATTGGAAACAAGATTCTATTTGTTTCACCAAAGGTGGAATGTAATGAAATAATCCTTGACATAAATTTGACACAACAAATTCTAATACTAGTTTATTTCAGAGAGAGAAAGAGAAGGGAAAATCATTCCTTGTCTCAGAGTTTCTGCCTTGATTCCCTTCATTCTGCCCTGTCCTGGAGTGACCACTTCCTGTATTAAACAGGGTAAAGGCTTGCTGACTGAGCTAATTATTTCTCAACTCAACCTGCCTGGTGGTTCCAACATAAAGCCAACATCCTTTGTGTACAATAGATCTGCATTCCCAGCATAATTTCTCACAAAACAAAGTAAAAATAAACGCTCTGATTACTTTTCATTACATTTAATTTAAATGATTTTAAGCAACAAGACCTTCACCTCCTTCCAAAGTTTAATTCCAATGCAATTATTTTTGATATAGATTCATCCCCCAGTAGGCATAAACTTCATTATGGAGTTCTGCATTGTTCTCACTGAACCAATTTTACCTTAGCTATTTTATTATTAATTCAATTTTCAGATAAAGTGCAAAGATGGAAATATATGCAGTTGTAAAAAACTTTGAAGAGTAATTTATTGGTTAAGTACAATAATGATCTCCAGTCATTCTTGAATCATAAATCTAATTTGAGATGTTGGATTTACATATGTTTAAGCAATTACAAAAGTCATCTCTTAATTTTTCATGAATTTGAGAGAGTAATGTGTATTTGCTTTCGACTGATATATTTGAATGTCTATTCTAAGGTAATATCTTGAAAATACAGACCACTTTTTGAAGATATCTGAATAATTTTCCTATTCAATATTAATGCCTTTTTGCTTTTCACTTACATGATAAAAATAATTTTATGAACGGAAATATGAAGCATGTCCAGAAAGTATCCAGCCATTGTTAACATAATGAGAATGGTTGCATGGCTGAATACTTTCCGGACAGCTCTCATATAGTGGTTTAGGACATGGATTTGAGTCAGACAGAGTTGGGATCTGATTCTGGTTCCACTGTCCACCAGGTTTGTGTCCTTGGGCAAGGACAAGTTATTTACCTTTTTCTAGGTCTGTCCCTTCAAATGGAAAATGGGAATAATATTAGTGTTTACCTCACCAGGTATTTGGTTAAGACGATTAAATAAGCTAATACATGTAAATGCTTAGCACTGAGCTCAGCATAGCAAAGATGTTCAGAAAGTTACCTGTTATTATGTTGGAACATTCCATCTTTGGAGTTCTTTCAGCATAAGACAAAGGTACAGTCATTATTGTTCTTTTTGTCCATCATCTTATAAACATTAGGTTTAACTCTTCCTTAATCAATCTGATAAAAACTCCCAAAGGACCCTCCTACTTGTGTGCGGGGGAGAAGTTTCTCTCCAATTCTGTGCTTTTTTTTGTTTCTTTCTATCTTTGATAGCCATTCCACAGCTTGACCCAGATTTTGAAGCAGTTGCATTCCTGGATATACAGAATCCAGGAAACCAGCTCAGGCTTTCTGGTGTAGCTGCTATTTCCCATCTCGTCTCAACTCTGTGGGCTATATTCTCTGATTTTTTTCAAACACCGCTAGATAAATTACACAAGGGCAGAGACCTTGCAAGTCTTATATATCCCCTAAATATGCAAGACATCCCCAACACTTAGAACCGCGTCTGGCATGGAGTTGATACACACAGTAATAAATATTTGTTGAATTAATTAGTTAATACATTAGAATTTCCAGCTATGCATTTGGGGCCCTGAGGAGCTGCACAAGCGTGGATCCATGTGCATCCACCATCGCCAGTGTGTATTCACGCTGTTTTGTTTCCTTGATACAGGGGAAGAGGTCTGGAGTGAAGACAGACTCATTTGTGTTAGTGTTTGGTTTGAGCTATTTTGACTTTTTCCTTTACTTTTTATCTCAAGGTTATAGCAACATGGTATGTCAATATACTGTGGGTCAGATCACTCTCTCCTGTTTGCATGTTTGGAAAATAAAGGCTGTTGAAATAGTCATGTTAAACAGTACAGAGATGGCAAACAAAGAGAATATTTGTGTTTTTACTGGGGCGGAAGGGGGCGATTTTAAGTGCTTGTAACACTCAGCCTAACCCTGACGCTGTCATTGTGACTTGTAAACCTATATTTATTAGTGATTAGAAGAGTTGTTGCCACTTAATGTAACAAAGAAAAGGGACAGAGGTAGAACTAGAGCTTTCTCTCTGTGTGTTTTCCCAGAGGAAAACACTAATTTCATCAAAGCAAGGACACTTTCAATGAGAGCAGTTAGTAGGAAAGAAGAGAAAATGTAACTCTGCTCCTGTCCTGGGCTTCGTTTCTCATCAGCTGTGTACCCAGTGATCCGGGAGCCAGCAAGGCTGCAGGGCCGGTGCTCCGCCCCGCAGCCCCACCTGGCCCTGACTTACTGGAGGCAGGTCCGTAAGTTCTCCTGGGGGTGGTGGCGTCCAGGTCTTTGCAGGCTGCTTTGTAGACCCCACCTTCTTCCCAACCGGGGGGACCTAAGATCTCCGCTCAGGGAAGAATGGGGAAGGCTCCACCAAAAGCTTCAATTCAGCTTTGCCACTAGACACAAAACACACAAAAAGCCCAAATTAACAATTTTATTTCACACGCCTCCGCCCCCCACCACACACAAAAAATCATCAAGCAAGCAAACTCAGCTGGACCCCCAAGGAGGTGGAAGGCTGTCAGTGATGCTGAAAAGGGAACCCGATCTGGACGATCTCTACCTCTTTAAAACACATTCCTTCCCATGTGAACCCTAAACATAACAGCTCTGAGGGTGCTATAGTCTTGGGTTTTTTTCTTTTTTTTTAAGCTTTTTAATTTTTTAATTAAAAATTTTTTACAGCCATCAGAAGGAGGGAATGTCTTGGGGTTTTTAAAGTAGGTTTCAAAGCTACAAAAAGGGTTCATTTTTGCCAAGATAAAATAAAATGGAGCTCCAAATGAGAGATGAGATTAAAATATTTTCTTTTCCTAGCAGCTTCAGATGACTAGCTTCATTTGTTTAAATATTAGAAAGGAAAAAAAATATTAGAAAGGTAGCTCAAGTATTAAAAAGAGCATGAACTTTGGTGTCAGAAAGACCCAGGTTTCATACCAAAGAGTCCATCTGATACATACAAAACAAATAAAAAAATTTAAAAAATTAACACTCTGTTGATACCAGTGCAGTAATTGATTCAGGCAAGGATCATCAATGGTTGTTAAAACCACTGGAAGGAAAAAAAAAAAAAAAAAAACCCTGGAAGAAAGGAGAGAAAAAATTACAACGGAAAAGGGCACCCTACAACGTAGAAATATGGCAATTACCACCTTAACCAAGGGATCAAAGTTTTCATCACCAATAACAGGACAAACTGACATCATTGTCTCCAGACATGATACAATGCAAATATACACCATCACCTGTGTAGTATTTTTGGCAAAAATATTTGGCCTGAATTTAATCATAAAGAAATAATTAGATAAATTCAGATTACAGGGACTCTTTACAAAGCACTGGCCTGGACTCTTCAAAATTGTCCAAATCATAAAACAGTAAAAATGTTACTGGCACAACTGAGGAAATTTAAGTCTAGTATATCACTGTTAAGTATTTTGTGAGTACAAATGGCATTATATTTACATAAGAGAATGTCTTATTGGTGAAGCTAGGTGATATCAGCGTTCTTGACGCTTTCTTCCGGCTTTTCTGTAAGTTTGGAAATTTCAAGTTAAAAGTTGAGAGAAGAAAAAGAAAAATTTAGATTTATTAACTGCATAAAATGAAAGGCCTAAGTTTTACTCAGGCCGAAGACCATGCTGGCTTAATAAACCTGATGATATTGATGAATGTGGGTCGTAGGGCAGGGAATGCAAGGCGAAAGCTGCCCTGCCGGCCTTCAGCACCAAGACAGAGCCTGTCTTCTAGAATAGCAACGATGGGACAGGTGTGTCAGGTTATACTGTGAACCTGCACCACCCATGCACACATGACAATGAATATTTTTTAATATACTTTTGTGTCTTTCCAAATAGTTCAGTTTCTTAACTGGATTTAAAATCTTTCCCATGTTCATCCATAATGCACATTTCCCTCTGCTTTTTACTAGCTGTTCGACTTCAACTTTGAGTGAACTCTCTCCTCTTGTAATGGCTTGGGGTTTAAAGAGAGCAAAGTTCAATTTTTATCATCCCTAACTGGGAATTGTCAAATTTAAAGCCGTCCAATCTGCAAGATGTTTGGACCTAAATAGAGATTTGTGCATCAGCTTGTACTTACCTAATTCAGATTTTATCTGCCTTTTGTATATCTGACCCTCAAATGTGTTTTGAAATCATCTGGAATTTATCAGAATTTTCCCATGTATTCTTGCAGCAAAACACTTAACTGTGTCACCGGGAAACTTTCGCAGCTAGCTGTCGTCGTGCTCTCCCAGGCTGTGCAGCTGCAAGGAAAAGCTCTCACTGGCCCACTCGCCTGCGCCAGCAGCCTCCCACAGGCTACTGTGGAGATTGTCTGGCTTTTGGAAAGGCCGCTCCTTCTTGTTTTATCGTGGAGACCGAGGAGCCAGAGATAGAACTGCGATTGTGACAGTGGCTGTGATGGATTGGTGCTTCGGCCACCAAGGAGGGGGAAGAAACTAAGAAAACAGGAAGCGAGAAACAGTGGGGGTGTCTGGGGAGAGAGGTGGAGAAAAGATGGAGAGGAAAGAAGGACAACAAGAGAGGAGTCGGAACATAGAGGAAAACATTCCTGAAGCCAAAAACAGCATCTTGCGTCACTCACAGATCCAAAGCCTGGGTCTGGACAGAGTTGACTCGGGGACAGAGGAACGAGGGAAGCCTTGGGCCGTTCATGTACATTTTA